GAAAATTAAAAGTTAAACAACTTTTTACTATTATTAATATCATTTGATTATTACTATGATTGGGATACAAGATTGTCATAAAATTCATTCATTAAGGATTTCCATTGTAGGCACTAGCAGATACAGGATTTAATTTTGGGAGGGGCTTCAAGGAAAATCGAAGGATTTTTTTTTCATATATATAACGATAATTAATTTGAAATAAAAGAAAGAAATTGACTACCAATATGACATGGCGTCTTAGTGATTCTTGAAGTCCTATTAAATTTAATTACACGAACAATAATAGTTTAAGAGGTAGTTTTTAATATTTTTTCTATAAAACATGAGTATATTTTACCATTTTGGAGGGAAGTGGGGTGGGAGGCTTCAGCCTGTGATTGCAGGACATAGTAAATTACATTAGATAAATACAATGTCAATTTTTATTGATGCTAATAGTAACACTGCTACAGAGAGCGGGGTGGCCGAATGGGCTAACGCGTGTGCACTGCACCGCCATTGCCCGGCAACCGGATATATGATTCTATGATATGAAAATAGTCACGAGTTCGCGTCCCGGTGCCAGAGGGATTTTAAATTCCCCGCCCTCACCCTTTGGTCCGGGAAAATCTCATATAGCCTAAAAGGCGAGGTAAGGAAGAACAGGAAAAAAAAAGTAACACTGCTACAGGATAATTGTTATGGCGGAAGCTATTTAATTTTTTCACACTTCCCTTCGAGAAAACTCTATAATAGTATGTATTTAACCTAATATATTTTGAAATATATAAATCATCTCATACCAGGGGTGCCCAAAATGGTGTTTTATAGCCATCAAATTGTTTTAAGGTGGCACTTTTTGACGGGGTTTTGAATTTTTGAGGGGAGCCCATTTTGACGGGGTTGTAATTTTTTGGAGTGAAAAGTTTCAATCCAGAAAGCGAGAGGAAAACATGGACTAGACCACCACAAGTGTATTTGTATATGATCTGCGAGTTTTCTAGTTCTACTTTCGCTTGGACTGTTTTTAATAAGGGGGGGACAGTAACCTTTTTTTTGAGAGGGAGGAGGAAGTTTATGCGCCATTGACCTTGGGGGAGATGGGCACTCCTGTTTCGTACTCTAACTTATTTTGTGATTGAATCAAGGTAAAACAATCTTGAGCATAAACAAATATTATTATTTAACTAAAACTGTGATCTAAGATTTGAGAGGCTATAGGAGTGCATACAACTTTAGAAGCAGAGAAAACGCGAAAAAAAGTTGATATCATGAGATATTGATTTACCAAATTCTGTAAGAAGTTCTTTATTGGTACTCTGGTATTTTTGTGCGGAACCGCCTGGTTCGTGCACTTTTCTACAATGTCAGGGGTGTCCATCCCCCCACGGTCGGTTGAGTATGACTCCCTCCTCCCAAGAAATATTATTACTATCCTCTTCTTAAAACAGTCCAAGCTTAAGTAAAATTAAAAGCAGTTCCGACCTGAGACATTTAGGGTCCTCGGGCAATAACGTTATTTTTCTCAAATATAATTTAATTTATTTCATAAACTGTTTTTATGATGTAATATTTCAATTTTATTTTGTTGAATATATATATATATATATTTTTTTTTTTTTTTGGTGTCCTCCCCTTCCTCGTCTTTAAGGCTATACTGGGTTATTCCGGCCGAGAGTGAGGGCGGGGATTTAAAAGACTCTCCCGGCACCGAGACACGAACACGTGACTATTTTTATTTAGTATCTCATGTACGGCGGTGCTGTGCACACACGTTAAAAAAAAAGAGCGAGCTACAGGCATGAAATTAGATAGACTGCACCTGCACCTACTAAACCCAATTCCATGCTAATTTGTTCAAGTGAGGCTTAATGTCTGTTCTTATAATTAGGATCCAAACTATTCCATAAGTTGGGTTTGTGTGTTGGAAACACAAAACAGAAAACACATTCAGCAAAACGAAAAGAATGCACCGGCGCACACTGGGGCGAGCTAACGGTGCTGCTAGATATTGGGAAAAAAATTAAGTTTTAGAAGTTAAAATGCATTAATGACAAACTAATATAATTTCTCCCGTCATACCCAACATTTTTAAACTTAATTATCGCAATAATAATGCCTTTGTTTGAGATAATAGGAGAAGGAATGAAAACCATCTATTTTATATTTAGAGGTGGTTTGCCAGAATTCTGCCCAGCACTAACGATATGTGCTGCACAGAATTTGTGAAGTTCTTATGTTTTAAATATTTCATTGTGATATTCCACAGCTGGCTCATGTCTGCATTTTCATACGCAAAAGTGAAACTCCACACATAAACGTTTTATGTAGTACTATCTACATCTAGACGTTTTTCTACCGAGAAAATGGAGGTTTTCTTTTTCGAACACTGCCGTCTAACAAAAAAACACTTAATTCATACACAAAGCAGGTGAAATAGAAAAGAACATAGGTTCTAGGTTCTAACAGTGTAATGCTTTAGGCTGCAAAACCATCTAATCCCGTGTCCTTGTACTTACCTCGGCAGATCAAAAATTACTTGGATATATGGACTACATTTTATTCCATTATATTGCATAAGATACATACATATTAAAGACGTTACTTATTTTGTAAGGAATTGATTGAGTAGATATACTTTATTACTTTTACCCATCCGCATCAGTGATATTGAAAGACAATGGAGCTGAGGGCTGAGTGCATAAGCTGGTTGTTGCCAGAATTCCAATAGCATATACTTCTTGCAGAATTACAGAAATTGTTGAAACTAGATACAGGTCGTGTGAAGCGATTAGGATGATGAATGTTTAAGAATCTGGATGGTTTTCAGTTACAGACCATACACATCGAATTTTGCGTTCCAATTGCGACGAATCACATTCTTATGGATTACAAAAGATTTCACGAAAAATTACATGGACATATAAAATACAAGTATACAACATATAGCAACAACTGGAATTCAAGATGTACCTCGCCAAAGGCTGAAAAGTAGTTCGATGAGGGACCTTCTAGTGTGACAATGAAATTTGGATGATGGAGCTGTTTCCCTCATGTCTAACCATGTACAGTGTACATTAGCTCATTTAATGATTTTAATACTTTACAGATCCAAATAAAATATTAGAGTTAAAAACAATGTGTGTGAAAATCGTATACAAGGGATTTTATTGGTTTTTATTTTTGTATACGTGATTTGACATCGCAAGACTTAAACCTAGAAAATGAATAAAATGTATCTACAAATTACATAGCTGTTGCAGCATGAGTGTCGAGATACACGTAGATGGACACCATTAAGTATTAATATTCTTTAGCCCAGACTAAACTAGTGCAAAATTGTTCGCGGACTAACTTTGATGCGGAAACAATTCGTGAAACATTTTCAAGAACAATTTTTTATAGAATCAATCGTGATAGAACGGTTCAGTACCAAGAGAAAAATGGTTTTCTTTGAAGGTTTGCATTCATATAGCACAAATGTAGCTTAATAACTAGCGAGGGACATCTAATTTTGTGCATTTACCTGCCTTATATATATGAGATTTAAAAATTGAAGCTGTTAGGGGATTCCTAAATTTCACAACAATGTTTTATCAGATCACGATTATTTATTCAAGAATTTTACAGGGCCGAAGTATCACACCATGGCACTAGCGGATCCAGGATTTAGTTTTTTGGGGGGGGGCTTCAGCCTGAAACCTTTTTTTTTCATATATATAACGATAATTACTTTGGAAAAACAGAAAGAAACTAGCTACCTATATGAAATGGTGTTTAATTTATTCCTCAAGTACTTTCAAATGTAATTACACGAACAATAATAATTTAAGAGGTAATTTAAAATTTTTTCCCCATAAAACATGGTTATATTTTTCCATTTTGGGGGAGGGGGGCTTCAGCCCGAAAGCCCCTCCGTAGATCCGCCCGTGCACCATGGAACCAAATTTTTGTTTCTGGGCATCGTTAGTTGGCCATGCATTGCAAATTTGCTTTTATAAAATTTAAATTTTTGCGAATAAAGTTCGCGTTGGTATCCAATTTAAAGTTTCTAATGGTAGTGGAGTCTTGCGTTGCTTTAATTCCCAACATACCTATTCACCGCTCCCAAACTACTTACATTTATTGGTATAAGTTACAGAAAATAACAATGAGCGTAGAAATACAGAAACTCTTATAGATGATGTAATTTGTTTCATTTAATATTTTTGCTTCACAAAATTAAATATCTATTGATAACAATAAATCAACCACAAAACAGAAATTTAAAGTTAATTTGAGCTAAAGATTTTTTGAAATAACTTAAAATGTAAACATAAATAAACAGGTGGGTTTTAAATAACTTTTTAAATCATCCAAGTAGTCTTTTATTGGAATAAATAAAAATGATTGGATTCTTAATTGAAATAATGATAAATTTTTCAAAGAATTATATGTGGCCAAATTATTAGTAGCAATCAATTATCTGTTGAGATAAAAAATGAATCAAGAAACTCTACAATAAATACACATTTTAAAAATTATTGAGCATTGTAAAATAAATATTCTTGATATCTTTGTGTATTAAAAAATAAATGGTTACATTGAGTAATGTAAACTCAATTAACAGGTTTAAAGGTACAAGGTAGCATTGCGGATTTTATAAACATGGCTGACTGTAGTCTTCTAAGTTGAAGATAGTTCGAAAGATTCTCCGTGACTAGGTGTATAGAATTTTGGTATTCAAAATGAAATTCCCGAAAAGATCATTTGTAATAGGTTATGATTAAAAGTTCTTTTCTAGTCAAATTATTGTACTGTAAAATAAATTCAAGTTGTTCTGTCAACTGCAATTACATATATGTTCGACCTATGGAGTTAAGTGATCAGCTGAAAATTTCCTAAAGTTTATTTTACGGTGAAAGTTAGTAAACTGGAAATTTGAAGTCTTCATTAACCAACAAAATGATGAAAGGTGGGCTTCCTAAAAAGGAAGGCAAGATGAGGATTCGGGCATTCCCGGTAAATATGATAGATATTTATTTGTGTATACAGTTTGTTGGTTATGAATTCAATGATGGTTACCACTGTTTCAGTTGGTTTATTATTAATTGTTTGAGGAAATTTATTGAAATATACGCCCTTCAGTTATAGAAATAATTTGTTTATATTGTCATAAGTGTTTTCAGTAAACAATGTGTAGAAAAAAGATTCTTTATCTTATCCTTTATTAACTATACTTATTAGTTGTGGTTCCTTGAAAGAACATATGATTGACACATGTGTAACCTTAACAAAATAGAATCTTGATGTATTTTTGGTTCAATCATTCAAAATTTTAAGTGCTTTTTATCGAACAATTGGAATTTGCATATCATATATAATGGATTTCATTAAACATTTACATTGAAAAATGCTATTGGTGAAAAGATAGCTATGGGCAAGAAATATATGGACCCGTGGTGTACTGGCGAGGTCTTCGAATGGCTCTGTACCATCAAGACAACAGATATAAATTCAAAGTTGGGTTATGGCACTTGGATCTCAGACATGGGGATACTTACCGAAAAACCTTACAGTCTGTAAGATATAAATAGAATTGATACAAAGTGATATGTTGTCTATTATTTGTTTAGGCTTTTGTAGTCAATCATATTCTTTTTATTTGGATTCAGTTTATACTTTCAAATTTTTTTTATAGACGACAACTTCACTCAATTGAAATGCTTTTACTCTGTCAACCTGACTCAGAGATGTTATTTAAATTATTGGGCTAACTGTTTTAAATAGTTGTGATTAAGATGTTTACATACTGCCTAATCATGTATTAGGATGATTTAATGTGTAGTGATCTTGTTTTGACGTTTAAATACTTGTTTTCATGTTATGATTTGGTTTGTTTAATAAAATATTTTGTTGATTATGAAATTGGTTCAGCTTGATTATTATTGTAGATGTCAATGGACGAGAAATATGTTGAAAATATCTGGGGTCTTCTGAAAAATGCCATACAAGAAATCCAGAAAAAAAATAATTCAGGCTTGAGTTTTGAAGAACTTTACCGAAATGCATACACAATGGTTTTGCATAAACATGGTGAACGCCTTTATACTGGTTTGAAGGAAGTTGTGACTCATCATTTGGAAAGCAAGGTTTGTACATTTATATTTTTATATATTGCTTTATTATCATCTTTATGAATTCCGTGGATTTTAAAAATTATGATCACGTTTAGTTAGTAAACAGTAAAAGGTTATGAATACTATTGATTCACATTTTATTCTTGTTTACCGTCATTAATCATCATTCTGTTGTTATAAGAATGATATGTGACATATTATAATGTAATGTCATTTAAACGACATCTACATTGTAATAGAATTCTATGGCACAACAAACTTTTTCTTTGATTTAACAATTCGGCAGTACTTTCTAAGTTAATTATTGTGTTTTGAATATGTCAGGTTAAAAATTATACAATTATCAACAATGATCAATAATTTTAACTTTTGAGACATCAAAGCGTATTGATCATTAAAGGTCATTGATCATTAAATTAGAAGTTGTATGACTGAGATGTATGACAATAATATTTAATATTAATTTCTTTTCATTTTTTATTCAGTTTATACTATTCATTGAATTTATCCTTCATTATTTAATAATTGATTTATCTTCTTCCTGTTATGAAAAGTTTTGCTATAAAATATATTAGTGCATCCCTTAATTTATTCTTCTACTGTTATCGGTTTAAATATTTTTGTGGCATTTGTTTGAATATTAGTAGGTATTTGATAATCTAATATAAAGTACAGGTTTTTTTATTGTTAAATCATAGCTTTATGTTGTGCTTTTGTATATTCCTTTCTCAAAATGATGTAGTTGATTTTAGAGATAATTAAATTGTTTTTCATTAATCAATACTTCATTTATGTATAAGAGAGGACTCATCGATTTAATCAACTAAGCTGCTGTCAATGATTTTTTACTTTAGATGTAGATATATGTCACTCTTTGTGGAGTTTAGTCGATCTCTTACCAAGATATTTTTAAAAATTGGCAATTTTTACATCTTTCTTCTTTTGTGTCTCTGGTCCATACTTCTTTCCCTTAATTCTCATTTTAAATAATTTCTCAAAGACTACGAACATCTTTTATTTGATGAGAACATTGTATTATACATGTTAGTGATAATCTAAAAGCTAAAAAAAAATTATTAAAATTATAGAATACTAGCTGGCCCGTGCAAATACTCTGCACAAACCTAATATTTATATCTGATTTTAATACATTAAGGAATCAGCTCAACTTTCATTCTATAATATTTGATACTCAAAGGTTTAATACATATATTTAGTAAGCCATCGGTTATAAAAATGATTTACAGTCTGCCATGGTTTAACCATTGCGTTTCCTTTTAATTTGAAATTTAAATATTTGCTTTTTCCTTAATTAATTATCATAAATTAACAAAAGCTTCTAAACATTGCTTTAAACATCTGATGACAACAAAAGACAAAAGGCTCAAATTTTCATGAAGAAATAGTTAATCCAATCAGGATGTAGGTTTCTTTATTGTTGAAAAAAAAAAAAAAAATGGAAAGTGTATTTTTAAAATGATAAACTCCAATAATAAAGATCTAAAAGTAAAAGCTAAAGTAATCGAAGCACATTGACAAACAAAGTGTTTAAAGGAAGACACATTTGTATAAATAAAAATAAAATTAATAATTTAATTAATTCAAAATAATAAAATGTTTTGAAATTGAAAAAAAAATTACCAAATGATGCATTATATTTTTTACTCTGTGAAAAAAAGAGCCAATTCCCAAAATCTTTAATTCTCATATGGAACAGAATCTTTTCAGTACAACAAATACTAAATGTTTCAGAATGCTATAACTCTGCACAAATTTTGATGATTTTTTAAATGTTTTGTAGGGAATTTAGTAATGTAATAAGCTTTCAAATATTCATATGTACAATGTTTTCCCGTTATGGGAAATACATATCTCAACTTGGTTTCTCCTCATAAAAATATTTGAACCCATTTTGCTCCTTGGGTCGTACAAATTGTTCCATTTCAACATTTTTCCATACTATAGCTATATGCCAAATATAAATTTCATGTAATAGAGCTCTCCTAGACTTTAATATTAACCAAAAATAAGTGTTAAAAAAAATGGGGAAAAAATAAGTACGCAATGAAAATATTTTACCAGACACAACTGTAATCGATTTCGATTTGTTTTACGTTTTGTTGGGAATTTTCAAATACTCATATGTATAATGGACCAAAAATTGTATACTTTTTGAGTTATTTGCGAATTATGAATTTATTTGTAAGAATTGATTCTTTGAGATGGCACATTCATATGGTTTGAAACCTCCCACTTTTACATTCTGAGAGCCAGGAAAGGGATATGTATTTCAGAAACAACATAAGAAAGATATACAAAATGTAAAAAAGAAAAAAAGCAATAAGTATGAAAAAATGATATTTTTTTAGAAAAAATCTTTTATGTTGAAATAAATTACTTTTTAGCTATCTACATTAATTCTGGTTTGAAATTTCAACAAGTATGGATTTAAAATTTCTTTAATAAATATTATTATTTGGGAATATTGGTTTTAAACATTATACATATGTTTAATAGTTTAGTGTAAAGGAGGTGAATATTTTTCTGTTGTCCTCAAAAACGTTTTTTCTAATGTGCCGAAGAGTATAACCCCCCAAACATTAATGCCAAAGTTAAATATAGTAACTACTAGAGCTGCTAATGTAAGCTGGTGGGTAATGCTATACTTTTTAAATACAAAAATTTTGAATTTTTATTTTCTAATTAAATTAAATGGAAATCTTTTAGTGTTATATTTTAGTTTTTGTTAATAATTAATAAGATTTTGATAGAATATCCTAGTTATATCTATTACCTATAATATGATTATTAGTATATTTTTTCTCTGTTTATTTTTATGAATTTAAGGGATGAGTATGTCCATATTTCTATTCAAGCCATGAACAAAAACTTGCTGCTTGGTAAAGGGTAAACCAAGGTCATCCTCATTGATTCCATCCAAACGACATAATTCGTTTCCATATTATTCTTTACTTTTCTTCAGTTAAAAGGCTTGATGCAAAAACCAATTAAGTCTGTAATCACAAATAATTGGTGAGAGCCGTATGGTCTTAAATATAACACCAGGTAATTCTTCTATTAGACTTTGAATAAATCAGCAACTACATGAATAACTTTGCTTTTGCTTCTTCAAGATCATATGCATTCATAATGTTAATTTCAGAAACAAGGTAACTCCAAATTTACCAGCTTTTTGCTCCTGTGAATAAAAGTTTTTAATGATTGGTGTTATAATGTCTCTTGTGTTATTACAATACAGGAAAGGACTGAGTTACATTTGGGCCTGGTTCTTCCACCAATCGATGTAATATTGTCAAATGGATTAAAACAATGATTAGAAAATTTGTACTTAGCTATGGTATTTGTATCAATGCCTTCAATTACAAATCTATTTACTTTCTTAATAATAATACAAATATTGGGGTCTTCTTTGATTTAAATCAGTTGTTATCCTCGGGCAGTACTTTTTTCATTATATCCTTATTAGAACACTAATATATTTCTATCAAAATCTATATTCTTATCAATATTTTTTATTATTAAATTTTATATCTTAGTCCAAAAGTTTTTGACGGTAGCGCTATTAAAGTGGGATAATTTAAATAATGTTATATCATTATAAAATTTTTATTGGAATTGGTGGGGGAACTAGTCCAGTAAGTTGGCCTTGTGGTCCTTTATTGGCTACCAAGAGGCTTCTGTTCTGCACTAACCCTTGTGGAATATCAAGATCCATCGGTTGTTGGAATTTCATGATCCATTTCTGAGAACAGGCATGAAATAAACATTAACTGATCTGCTTGAGAATAACCCACACTACTCCGAGCTGGGCACTTGAGAACGCTCGTCCTAATGTGCTCATCATTATCTGTTGGTGTAATACGTTTTAAGAGATTCGAGATTGTAAGTTGACCTTGTCCATACACTTGCTTAAATCATAAATGTATTGAACGATTGTGTTCTAATACCCATAGATTTTAAAACTTTTAATGGTGACAAGGTTGGGTGGTTATAATCACACTATAAGTCTGAGGGACTCCATCTCTATTTGATTGGTTGGTAGACTTCTTATGTGGTCTTGTTCATGACTTGCTTCCTAGCAAACTCCTAGCTACAGAAGACAAAAGGAAGAAAATAGAAACGTCTCATTTTTAACTCTTTCATCCCATAAAACTGCTTAGATTAGATTAAAGAGGCTTATTAGATTCACTTATCCCTTTATTAATGCATTGAATAAAGGGGTCTCTCCCACAAGTTTAAAGCACCTTTCATTTAGTTTATTTTAAATGATTAACTGTCTCTCATTGTTAGTAGTATTAATAAAAGGCTCAATATAAATTATGAACGAATCTCCAAAAATAATAGTCAGATGGTTTACGTTTAGTATATTGTTCGAGATCTGAGAATTTTAGAAAAAACAATATCTTACCTACTAAAGCGTAAAAGATAATGCAGACTAACAAAAATATTATAAATAATAATTTCTGAAAACTAATATTATTTTATGTAAACCACATTTTTCCAAGGAAATTAAAATAAATTTCCTGACTAAATCTAATAAAATTTAAACTTTTAAAATTATTTTTAAGTTTAAAATAATTTGTTTTTTTACTTTACACGTTTTGGGGTCCAAATAACCAAGTCCCGAAAAATGGTCTGTGTGTTTGTATGGTAGCAGTCTAGCTCAAAAACGAAAAGTCGTACGAAACTGATATTACCTATTTAATATAGCTATGTGCCTTAGAACTCACAGCAACTTTTTCCTTAAAATTGCCACTTAATATCAATGGTGAAACACATTTTTACAATTTCTCAAAAACAGCTTTAACAATTTTGATTAAACTCGGTGTATCATTGTATAATTAAGTGTTCTTTAATTTCATTCAAGTCTTATCCCCATTGATGTCACTTTACAGGGCTTAAATGGCCAATGTTCATATGCGTCTTCCTCCAAAGTACCTTTAATATGGTTTATTTTAAATAATTAACTATCTCTCATTATTAAAAGTTATGCAAAAATGCTAAATATAACTTTTGAAAGAATTTGATAATTGAATAAAGGAGAAAAAAATAAAAATGCGATTATCAAGGTTGAAAATGAATCTCCAGAAATACTAGTCAGAAGGATATGTATAATGTATCGTTGGAAAGCGGGGAATTTTAGAAAAAACAATATCTAATATAGAAAGTTGTCTAAGGTAACAGAGAGTGGCAAAAAAATTATAAATAATAACTTTTGAAAACTAATAATATTTAACGTAAATCACATGTTTTCAAGGAAATTAAATAAAATTTACTAACTAAATGTAAACTTTTAAAATATTTTTAAATTAAAAAAAAGTATTTAAAATCCACTAAATCAAGGCAATGACATTGTTTAAAAAACTATATCATTGTACTTGTGTGAAAGAAGAAGTAAAATATGAAATCATTTCATGGATATATAAAGCATATGTTTATAACCTTAAATACATTTACTGTAGTTTAATAATTCTAGATCTGATATTATATTTAAATAATTAGGTATCAACGTCTGTTTATTCCAAAATATTGTCGTAAAACTTTTTTTAAAATTAAATTAGTGAATAGAGTTTGGCACCCGGGACTGCTGTACAAACTCCGAAAATTCCTACCACCTACATACTTCCTCATTATCCGTTCCTACCTTACTGATAGATACTTCAAAGTAAATCACAATAACGCCTATTCATCCCTTTTTTCCCACTCTGCTGGTGTTCCTCAAGGTAGTATCCTAGGTCCTATCCTCTATACAGTTTATACAGCTGACATCCCTACCTGTCCCAACACTGTCATCACCACATATGCCGATGACACATGTATCCTATCAGTAAACAATGACCCAGCAGTTGCATCCCAAATGCTTCAATCTCACATCATAAATCTAGAAGAATGGTGTCAAAACTGGAGAATTAAAATAAACTCCAATAAATCCCACCAAATTACCTTTACCCTTCGTCGTAAACCAACGACTTCCTGTCCTACAGTTTCCTTTAATAATACTCCACTTATCCCTGTTGAGCAAATCCGATACCTAGGACTCCACCTGGACAAACGACTAACTTGGAATCCTCATACTAGACTGAAACGACAAGAAACCGCTCGACGTTTCCGATTACTTCAGCACTTACTAGACAAACGCTCTAAACTTCCCATTAATTACAAAAGACTCATATACTTGACTATAATAAGACCTATTTGGACTTACGGAGTTGAGCTATAGGGCTCCACTAAACCATCGAATTCCTCTCGCATCCAATCCTTACAATCCAAAATCCTTCGTAAAATCCTCAATGCTCCTTACTTTGTCACTAATAAAATTATCCATAAAGATCTTAATGTTCCTTATGTTTCAGATCTTGCCCAATCCAGATACCTATCCTTCCATAATAAACTTCAGAATCATCCCAACTCTCTCGTTTCTAACCTTGCTTCCTCTTCAATTCCTGATAACCCTCCGAGGCGTCTGAAAAGAAGATGGCACCGTGATCTCCTAATGTAGTCATATCATTAGAGTGCTAGCATTGGGTAGTTACTCAGCAAGTGTATTCATGTCATTATATCAATTATGTCCAAATTTACTTGGTGTATTTATGTAATACAGTTGTAAATGTCATAAAGAAATAAAAAAATAAAAAAAAATTAGTGAATAGTTTGATGAAATTTCCTTTTGTGATATTCTATCAGTATCCACTGCAAATCTCTTAATTCCATTTTAGTAAACTTTGCAATGGTAAGTAGCAGTTTAATAACTAATAGTCATACAATCCATAATCAACCAGTGATATAATAAATACGACTTTTGTTATTTTAATGGTATTTCTGATTTGTTACCTGTACTTTTTTAGCTTTAGCTCAGTTAAAAATGCAATTCAAAAATTTTACAATAGTCCAACATGACCAGAAAATAATTTCTGTTCAAATTTGAGCGGTAAATGAAAGTTGTGTGTTGCACGCACCAGATTTTTTTCAAATTTCAATGTTTTGAAAAATATATACAAATCTAACTACAGAAATATATATTTCCATTCCTCTTTTTCCTGATTCCTTTCACATCAAGCCATAATTTGAGTTCTTTGAAATAGTGCAATGATATTATGGATTTAATTAAATTTCTTATCGTTTTATTAATGTTTAAAATTGATTTTTATAGGTGAGGGAAGATGTATTGAAGTCTTTGAATAATAACTTCCTTCAAACTCTGAATCAGGCATGGAATGATCATCAAACATCTATGGTGATGATAAGAGATATTTTAATGTATATGGACAGAGTTTATGTTCAGCAGAATGATGTGGATAATGTTTATAATTTAGGTCTCATTGTCTTTAGAGATCAGGTAGATTATAATTTAATTCTTATCAATTTTGAGTTTTAGCAAGATATGTAAATAATAAGAATAGTTAACATTTTCATGTTTTTTCTACATCTAAATCAGAGGTCTCCAAGCTACAGCCCACGGACCGCAACAAGCTGGCCTATGAAAGTTACTTTGATTTTTGCAACATTTAAAGAACTGTTTAAAAAAATTGGAATTTAGTAAAGCACTCAAACACGAGGTTACTACCTTTGTTTAAAAAACCTGATATCACTGCTGAAGTGTCATTTATAGAAAACATTTTTTTTTTTTTCATCGCAATCTATGGTACATAGGACTTAACAGAGGTCTCAATGCAGCCTGCAGGTCTTAGTGGAGGTCTCAATGTGGCTCTTGGGACATTAAGTTTGGAGACACCTGATTTAAATCAACAAATATTATGTGCTCATTTTGATTTGTTGATTGAAGCTATGATATTTTGTATCAATTTAAATTGTCTGGAAGGTAGAGCTCCTGTAGTGTTGCTCTCATTTAATTTCTGAGTTAATTATTGTCAAAGCTCCAATGGTATAATTTTATTCCTGAAGTAGCTAACTTCTTACTTAAATTTTATATAGAATTTCTTTGCCCACTCTAGACACTTTAACTTATTTTACTCATGAAATAAATAGTTCTTCTTATTTAAAAATATTAAAAATTGTGTTTGACTACATATTTTAAGACTTATTGTAAATTCATGAAGATATTGTTTTGGTATCAATATTTTAAAATTTAGTATGGAAATACTAACGGGAACATTTTGAAGTATGCTAATATAATTACACAATAAGTAACTCGAATTTTCATTTAGAAAATAATGTTTATTGCACAAAAATGTTAAAAAAAATATTTTACTCGAAATATTGTACATTGTTAGCTGTACATGTTTCCTATCTCGCTGCCAATTTATGAATACTATTGCAGAAAAACTTTTGTGGCTAACCGGTCATCAAGCTATTTTTGTACATTTTCATGAGAACTGAAGCACTGCTGAGCAAGTGCATGCTCCATCGATGGAAATATATAATAGTCGATCTGAGCCAAGTGTGGAGAGTAAGCCACATACACTTATATTTCCCAACTGAATGCCTCGATTGTTTCCTTCACTGGTTTTGCTATGTCTGATGATGCATTATCTAGCAAAATTCCTTTGTGTTGTCTTTTTTGATGTTCTTATATTTTTAGCAGTACTTAATTCAAATTGATCATTTGTTATCATTAGCATTCAGTATTAACGGTTTTGCTAGGATTTAGCAGCTCATTATAGTTCACATAGCAGCATTTAGCAGCTCATTATAGTTCTCATTATAGTCCACGTTCCACTTTCTTCATTTCTCATATCAAAATTACCGCTACTGAATTTTTCAAAGCACTGATCATTCTGCAGCATTTTAATTTCATATGGTCTGCAAATTGTTGTTTGTAGGCACAGAACTTGACTTGTTAAACACTATTAAAATGATTATGTCATATATAAAACATTTTATTAGGTTTCAAAACTGGGGCAGTGGCAAGTTGGCAAATCGGGGTGGGACAAATTTTGTTTTCTTCTACCCCCAACAACTTCGATAGTTTATAAAGGAGTTAACTGAGTATATTCAGTTGTACATCCACTACCTGTAACCATCTCACATTGCACGATAGGGGGTGATATCGTCCCAGGGAATGGCCCTGCAGGATATGGTCAAGCAAATTGAAAAAAAAAAAAGGCTTATCTACATGTCAGCTAGTTATAGTTAATTTAATTTTTAAAATGTTATAGTTAATTTATAACTGCTAAATTTTAATTTTGAAAGATCTTATCATATTTTATTTTATTAGCATTTGTGATTTTCTTATTAGAGATTGTTTCATTTATAATACTTTAAATAATTATTACAGGTTGTGAGGTATGGCTGTATTCGGGATCATTTACGAGAAACACTTTTAGGTCTTGTAATGCGAGAAAGAAAAGGAGAAGTTGTAGATAGGATGTCAATAAAGAATGCATCACAGATGCTCGTTATACTAGGCATTAACTCACGATCTGTCTATGAAGAAGATTTTGAAAGACCTTTTCTTCACCAATCTGCAGAATTCTATAAAATGGAGAGCCAAAAGTTTTTGGCTGAAAATTCTGCTTCTGTATATATTAAAAAAGTTGAGGCAAGAATTAATGAGGAAGCTGAGAGAGCTAAACATTACTTAGATGATTCAACTGAAGAATATATTGTTGAAGTTGTTGAAACTGAATTAATCAAGAAACATATGAAAACTATAGTTGAGGTATGATTTATCTGATTTATTAGAATAAATAAATGCATTGCTGTACATACTATATATGTATTAAATATTTTTCTTGATACAACATTATGATTCATGCTATTGCAATAAATTTCCTTTATTTCATTCCTCCTTCCTATTTATTATGTTTGGTAACAATCAAAATGATCAAAATCTGTAATCCTGTTTCTTTAAAATATTTAAATAGCTTATTTTCAGCCTTTCCATATATTCCATATTACAAAATTGATAATATACAATTAATTGATTAAAATTATAAAACTTTCCCATTCGACAGGTTAAGTTTAATAATTTTTGTTTTAATTCGTAATCGACATAACCTTCGTAATTTAAATAACCTGAAAGTCTGCATGGTCTAATTTATGAACTCATATAACTCTTTATAATTACAAAATTTTACTTCCTATATTTGTAATACAATAAGTATAATATTTTACTTAAATATTTATTGTCCTGGTGCTCTGTTTTAATTATTACTAGTTCATTTTTCTACTGTAGATCAGTGTACGTTGTACATATTATTCATTATTTCAATTGTTTATAGATGGAGAATTCAGGAGTGGTGCACATGCTAATGCACCAAAAGACTGACGACTTAGCTTGTATGTACAAACTTTTTTCTCGGGTGCCAGATGGTCTTAAAACCATTTCTGACTGTGTTTCACTTTACCTCAGGGAGCAGGGGAAGGCTCTTGTGGAAGAGCAAGAACCGTCCACTAATGCAATAACATTTGTTCAGGTACATTTTTATTTTGTTAAGTACAGATGTGCACACATATATGTTTATATAATTTATTTTATTTTTATTATTTTTTATTTTTCTGTTTCAGAACCTTTTAGATTTGAAAGATAAATTAGATCATTTTCTTCACAATTCTTTCAATAATGATAAAATTTTTAAACATATGATTGCTGCTGATTTTGAATTTTTCTTAAATCTTAATCCTAAGTCTCCTGAGTACTTATCGTTATTTATTGATGATAAACTGAAGAAAGGAGTTAAAGGAGTAAGTTTATAATTTATATTCTAATAATGTTTATATTTCAATATTAAATACATTCATATAAAAACTGGACTGGTAATTGTGTTCTGAGTTAATTAACTCATTTCTCCTCCAGTCCATTTTATGCTTGGTGTCTGTCTATCTCACATTGCTCACCAATGGAGTTCATGATGTTAGCTATACTATTTTGATATTTTGTAGTTTTCATAATCATAAATGTATGACTGATAAAAAAGTACTGTTTTTCATTTTTTTTAATCTTTTCCTTTTCTAGATGACAGAACAGGAAATAGAGGTAGTTTTAGATAAGACAATGGTCCTATTCCGATTCTTACAAGAGAAAGATGTGTTTGAAAGGTATTATAAAAACCACCTGGCCAAACGTCTCCTTCTTAATAAATCTGTTTCAGATGACAGTGAAAAAAATATGATATCAAAGTTAAAAGTAAGTATACAAGTATTGTATTTTGATGTGTTTTAACACAAAGTTATATACTAAGAGAATCTGTAGCACATACCTAGTCCTGTCATAAATATTGTTATAAGGAAATAAATACAGATTTCAACAGGAAAATTAATTTTTTCAAAAACTTTATTGGAAAATAAAATATATATCTATAGAGGGTAAAACAAAAAAGAAATGACTCAAAATGTCCCCCTTTTGCATTGACACAGGCCTTTAATCTCCTTAGCCAGTCATCAATAGCAGCACTCGACCCTTCTTGAGGACAGCGCTCAACTGCTTGGGCCAGTGATTGTTTGAGGCTTTCTAAGTTAGTGAGCTCTGTGGCATGCCATCCTCTGCAGTTGGGACCAGAGCTGATAATCTAGTGGGTTGAGATCAGGGCTTCCTGAGGGCCAATCCGAGGCAGAGATGAATTGTGGAATGTTCTTTTGCATCCACTGCTGAGTTGTCCTGCCCTTGTGAGATGTAGTGGAATCCTGCTGGAAAACCCTATGACTTCCATCAAACAGAGCATCACTTAGAGGCCTGACAACAGGTTCCAAAATATCATCCTGATAGTTTTTAGTGGCTGTTTTAACTCCTTTTTCACAAAAATGGAGCTTTGTGATGCCATCAAAGCAAATTTCCCACCAAACCATCACTGAGGAAGGGTGATGACCTCTTTCCACTTTTCCAATGACTTCCTGGGCTTCTTGAGAGCTGTGTGCTTACACACGATCATTTTGGCGATTCAATTTTTCTTCAATTGTTAACATTTTCTCATCGCTAAACAAAATCTTTTGATGAAGACCATTATCCACTCTTTTTTTTTAGGAAAGTGTTTAGCCTTTGTCCTGTGATTCTTCGAAATGCACCCATCCTAAAGTCACTTTTTATTATGCGAGTCATTGATCTGAGGGAGGTTCCCATTTCCCGAGACATGAATTGTTGTTTTCGAATGCGATTTATTCTGAATTGAGCAGTCATTGCTCAGACTGCATTTGTCATTCTCACGTCCCGGTCGATATCTCATTACAGATAGGGTCTCATTATATCTATTTACAGTACGTTACACGTACATATGGCTGATACCTAAAAGTTTCAGTGCTGAAAATCTCTGACCTACATTTTCCAACATTGTGTAAGGCGATCACAGCTATTCGGTTTTCTTTATCACTCCGCTCCATGTTAACTGAGCGAAAGAAAAATACTAACTGGGATTATTATCCTGACACGTAAAGAAAATAACGTGATAGAGGTAAGGATTATCTAAATAATACCCAAGGGTGTAAACAAAGTTCAACTTTTGTAACAGTATTTATGGCAGAACTAGGTATAGCATACAAATCTGATTTTGTATTTTTATATTAGGAGTATTCATGCAGCTTTTGATAAATGCTGAATGTGTTATCATGCTGAGCAGTCAGAATGATAAATAACCTATCATCATTATTGATTAGTGGTTTATTTTTAAAACGGCAAAGCAAAATAAAAGGCAGATTTGCTGGATTACTTTATTAAAAATTCTTTTATAGAAAGCATGAATGACAATTAGCATGATGAATTTATGTTCAGAAGTTAAAGAACTTGATGAAAACATAAATGAAATGTTGGGGATTAAGTCTCTTCTTACACTTTATTTTAGTGGGTGGTACAAACAAACAATGAACAGGAAATCAAAATCTCACTCTGACCTTCTCCATGTTTTTAAGAAATCAGCACCACTTTTTAGGACACCAGACTGCATTATAATCAAGTGTGCTAGTCCATATTTAACATACATTTCTTAAATAAGTTTCTTAACTTCAACACATTTAAGAGGTTTACAATACTTACCACTGGTTCCATGAATACCTGTATTGTTTAAAACCTCTTCACTAATTTATGATTTATTGCTTTCAAAATTATATTTTAGAATATAACACTGCTACTGAAGCTTATAAATGCTGATAGCTTTTAATTGACTCCCAATGCTCAGTTAATAGATAATAAAGTAATTCAATCAGATTGTAGATAAATCCAATCAGACTGATTATTTCTAACTTATTTGATTATTATATTTTTCAATTTTGTCCATTTGTAGTCTAGATAGTTTGACCATTACAAAATTATGTTCTTTTAGAACTAAAATGTTTATGAATTCACATCTTATGGTGACTGCTTGGGCTGTTTGATTGATGAGTCTAGTATTTTGTTGAAATTGTTTAAAGATTGTGTGGTTGTAAATAACAGGGTGGCGACTGACATGGAAAACCTAGAAATATCTGAGAATTTTCCAAACAGGGAGAATTCGGGAAATTTTTAGTACATAAATATTTTTTTCAAATTGAAAATAAGTATACAGTGGATATTGTTTATAATACTCGGAAAATTTTGTTGTCAATTTTCTTTAATGTATAATAAATAAATTTAGTTAAAAATTATGCATTTTTAATATTCATGTCCCCAGACATATTTGGTCATGGAAAACTATCATTAAATAGGGAAAAGTGAGAGAATTTTACTTTAGCTATCTGGTAGTCACCGTGAATAATCTTTTCTCTGCCAATCCTAAAATATAGCATTTCTGTTACTTTATTTATGATTTCTGTTGATAAATTTTTAATTATTTTTTTCAATTAAATTAGGAACTTTATTCAATTTTTATTTCTTAGTGAAGATTATTCGTGTTGTTAGAAACATAAAAAATATATAGAGAATGAATTTTGAATTTCCCCAATGAATATTCGCAAAGATATGTTAATATAAGAAAAAATAATGTGAATGGGAATGGTTGATGTAAAATCATGTTTATTTCATTTGTTATAGTAAATTTTCTCTCAGACCAGTTTTGAACCTATGTCACTTCTAACTTGAAAATACCTTGTCGATTTCTTTTTACTTGACTGAAAAAGCCGATTTTTAGTCAACAATTTTTCAAATGATTCACATAAGTTATATAATATGTAATTCATATTTTATGTCTTGTTTTTCAGACAGAATGTGGTTGTCAGTTTACTTCTAAATTGGAAGGTATGTTCAAGGATATGACAGTTTCTAATACAATAATGGATGAGTTTAAAGAACACATCACATCTACAGGAGTGAGTATATATTTTTTAAATCTCATATTTTAAATATAACTTCCAAATAAAAGAAAAACAGACATATTTTATAAAAATAATTTTTTAAAATATTGTTTTGACTTTTTTTTTTCCCTTGACTCCTTTCTGAAGACTCTCTTGTTATCCAAAACTACTGTACTTGAAAGGTATGCAACAATTAAGGTTGATAGTCACAATGTATGGTATGAAAAGGTTTTTCATTTAAAATTATTTTCCAAATCAAATAATATTAAGATTAAATAGTCATTATAGGGTTAAGATTAATTAATAAGTTGTTAAAGAAGCTTATATATTATACAACTTATGTGTTGTGTTTTATTCTTCAAGAATTAAGTAGATCGAAAGAAGAATTATAATAAAAAAAGTATTATAACTATGATTCATCTACTAATGTATTTACTGTTAATACAGCCATTACCAATTTATTGCTATTTTCACATATTGTTTTATGTTAAATGCGATTGGAAAAGTATATTGTTTGTTAAGACTCACTATGTTTCTGATATTTCATAATGTGATGAAAATTAATATTCTAATGTTTCATATGACAGTATTTTGATGGTATTTACGATACTTCATGTTGTCTATTCCTTTCATAAATTATTCTTCCTTACATTATAAAATAAATTACAGCTTAAGGTATAATTATAATTATATAACTTACCAAAAGTGGTAGATTCTTTGAAGTGATGTTATATGAGGAAATTCATGAATCAGAATAATAGAAAAGGGAGGTTTGACCAACATATAAGATTTAGCAAAAATTTAAAGATAAATATATGGATCCAGGTTATATTATTGCATAAAGATAAACTAGAAAAAAAAAGTTTCTCACTCAAAATAATTGTCCCAAAGAATGAAAATTTAAGAATATCGCCATCTTAAGATAAACAAAGATGCTTTCAAGGAAATAAGAAATTGAAACAAATTCATTTAATTAATGGACTAGTTGATTATTAAATCAACACAGCCCTCATTCAAAGAACTGTTGCTCACTTTCATTGATTGGTGATATATCATGAACTGTAATCAATTCTTTAAGGATCTATTTGATGAATGAATCTGGCATTGATGAAGAATTGGGTATGTCTGAAGGGACATCTACTTTAAGTTAGAAACAATTGTGAAAGCGAGTTTAAATGTTATTCTAAATCAGCTTGGTGCTCATTTTGGCTGGAAGATTAGATGTTCTTTACCTATCTGTAACATTTATTAGTTAACTGCCTAAGTTGGTGTCTGCAGACTGCCTTAGATATCCCAATTACCACAGGTATTCACAAAACTACTCCAGAATTTCAATTTCAAATTCAGGTTATTTGAGAAGGAAGAGAAATATCTAGGTTAGCCTTCGACTCAGTTAGTGGGGAACCAATCCGAAATTAATTTTCTAAACCTTTTACAAACATGACAAAATTCTATGGAGGCTTAAACCAATGAATAGAAGGGGAGCATCAAGGGAGATAGAATGAAATAATGAGGAGCAAACCTTAAAGGGCACTAACTTTAAGTGCATGTATTGAGTTGTGTTGCCTCCCTGCAATAATGAAATTTTGGAGCAATTTTAGTGGTAATTCTTCTATGTTTAAGTTTTAGTGATTTCAAGTTATGCCAGTGATCATTCTACAGTGGGTTGTAGTTTCCTGGATTTGATACAATGTTAGTACTACTGTACAAATCTGCACTTGATAGTATTGTAGTATATATACCTTTTCCACCTCTCAGGAGTAATGAATTTTGATGAATGATGTAGCAAAGAGTAGGTAATATTATGGAGAAATGACAATTTTGAATCTTAAAACCTTACTATAACTGCAATAAAAGTCATAAAAAAAATATATATATGGAGATTTCAAAACTAGATGGTTTCAGAAGTCGACAGATCGAGATGGAGTTAATTTTGTTAGTTTTTGATGTGGAAATCAAGACCTGGGTTCTGCGTTTATAAGTCCTAAAGTGTACCATTTATTAGATAAATCGTAATTCTTAACAAAAGCCTCTTATGTGCAACAGTTGACACAAATTAACATGTTTATTGAAGGAAGTTAGCCGACTGTTCTACATATCATAGGTGATAAATAGTCAAGTCGCAGTAAATTTTAAGGTTTTTATTATTGCCGACATTTCAACCCGAACATGTGGGTCATCAAATACTTAAATACCTTCAGTGCTTGAAACATGGTGACACACATGTTAGGGTTGAAACGTCGGCACTAATAAAAATCTTAAAAATGACTGTGTCCTGATTATTTATCATCTATGATAAACATGTTTACGTTTTAAAAATTAAAATATTAGTATTTATAATAATCTTAAAAAAATCTGGTGAATGAGAGGGTAAATGCAGGAGAATATTTTTGTGATCCCTTGGGCACTTCAGAATAGGGAGAAACTTTCTGATATTTTTAATAAATAAAAAAAATGCCCAAGCATGTTATACTTCTATACTCTCAGTAATGGACTTCTAAAGTTGTATTAAGTGGTGATATAACTACCTCAAATGAAGGGATATTTTATAGAAGAGCAAACTAATCACTTATTAAGTAAATTGTCACTTTAACACACCAATCGTTTGTCTTGAATAGAACTATTTTGATAATATATTAAAGAAGGATGAAGAATGGTCAGGATGTACAGTCCAAAGATTATATTTAATCATAATCATAATGTTTGTTTATATACATAATGTTTTGGCTGCACATCCTGACCATTTTTCATCCCTACAAGTTCAACAGTTAACTATATTTCCATCTCTCTTGATAATATGTGATGTTATCAATGAATAAAATGAAAATGAATAAATGCTGATGTTGCTTATCATTGAATACATCAGGAAGAAAATGTGAGAGAGTTTTCTATCTAATGTTAGGTTTTTCACTGGATTATACTAGTAAGCTAAAGTGAAATAAATTTAAACATTTTTTTAAATGATTCTTTTTATTACTTATTATTTATAGGCTAATCTGTATGGAGTGGACCTGAGTGTCCGAGTGTTGACAACAGGTTTCTGGCCCACAAATAGTGCCACACCCAACTGCACTATACCTATTGCTCCACGGAGTGCCTTCGATGTGTTCAGGAGGTAGGTACAGATTTCTTAGCGTCATGATATAAATGTACCGTATTAATAAGTGTCAATAATGCTTTAAGTACCACTTTTTAATTTCATTTTCAAAAACACTCATCACCAAACAATTTAAGCTATCAAACATAAAAATTGTTTCAGGCTTACGCTTTAAAAATCGTTACATATCTCTTAGCATTTTAATTAAACACATTTTATTCAATCACGGGTCAGTGTTTTTAACTCAAATTATTTCAAAACACTCACGGGATCTCACAGAATAATTTAAGATATCAAACTTAAAAATTGACCTAGCTGTTTGCTCTTAACATTGTTACATACCTTTTAGCAGACTCTCCGAACACATGACCCTCGTGTCGTTTCACTTTCTAAACCCTCACAGCACATCACCGAATAATATAATATATCTAACTTCAAAATCTATCTAGTCGCTCGCTCAAAAACTCATTACTCAATCAAACAAAAAAGCAAATCAATTAAAAAAATTTTATTTAATCATGGTTCAGTATCTTTAGCTCAAATATTTTCAAAACACTCTGGGGATCTCATGGAATAATTTGAGCCATCAAAGTTCAACATCAATGTTCGCTCAAAAAAAGTGTTATATAGCTTTTAGCGGACGACCCAAACACATAACTTTTTTTTCGCTTCACTTAGTTGGGTAAAAATTAAGGTGGAGCACTAATTTTGATCAGAAGTATTTATTTGAATTTAATGCATGTATGAAATATGTTCTGTAATTAAACCTTTCAATTTTATTTCAGATTTTATTTAGGCAAACATAGCGGAAGACAGTTAACATTACAGCCACAGCTGGGCTCAGCTGACTTGAATGCTGTTTTCTACGGTTCTCGTCGGGAGGACGAAGAAGGAGGAAAAGATGGTGCATCTTCTTCTGTATCCGTTGCCTCTGGCGCTCCAAGGAAGCATATTATTCAAGTGTCCACCTATCAAATGTGTGTCCTAATGTTATTTAATAAAAGAGAAAAATTAACGTATGAAGTAAGTACTGTTTATTTTAGAATTATTATTATTTAAATGTATTTATCGGTTGAAAGTGTACTATTATTGGAACTTAAAAAAAATAAGTTCTGTAAAAGGTCTCTGTTTATAGAGACTGTACTGTTTCATAGGCTATAATTTTGTGGTATTGTAGCTAAAATGGAGAGTAATGAGAAAGGAAAGTAAGAATATTTTAAAAATTATTTTAATAAATAATCAAATATTTCAACAAATAATAAGAACATAGAAAACAAAAAAGCATAGGGTGCTGAGGAGGACCATGATATACCAAAGGGGATATGCAGGCCTGGTCTGGTTCCATTGGAGGTCCCTTTACCAAGAGAGGGTTCTGGGAGGATATTAAAATCTCTGAAAACCACCTTATTTTATTTAGATATTTAAATATGACATTTTTGTCCAGTCAGGCCCTCAGATGAGCCTAGTATAATTTCCCTCCTGTCAGAGACCCAGTTGCATTATAATTTAGGAGAATATGTCGTTGTGACAAGCAGTACCGTAATTCACTAGTTTTTTTATTTATTTCAATACAGACTGTAGAGAGAGAATTCACTCTTAGGCTGTCTCTTGGTTCACTTGTTCAAGATGAGATTTACGAACTTCCCTTGCAATTCATTTCTATCAACAATGAAATACTTACCATACTTCGAGACATAGTACTTCCTTTGCAACTTCTGAAATCAACATTATTTCTATGTCAAAATTTGTGTTGTGTCTGCCCATAGGCATATAACTGTAGAACATTCCTTGATTAGTACCCTTTGCAAGTTGCAAAGTAATTTATTGAAGCTGGGCAATAAGCGGACTCATGAATTCATAGATGGGCTGGATTTATTTAATTATTTCTTTTTGGGCAATAAGCTCCTTAATGCGGCACTTGGTATTTCTGATTCCAACGAGTTAGATAGAGAATCTGACAGGTGGAGCAATAGTCATTAAAATATGAGGACTATCACAAGACCATATTTGGTTCTTAGATGTTCAGCGGCCTCAAAATAATGTTTTGGGTTATGGATACCGGATAATATGTGATTCACTGGCACTAGAGGAAGCCTTCCCCATTCTATCTGACCTCTGACCAACATAGCATTGCGGCGTTGGGTGCACTCCTGCAAAAAGCCGCTTTCTTAAGTCAGAGGGAATGGAAATGGATCAATCTTATGCTTTATTTTTGTATAAGTGAGTCTGTCCATAATAATACATATCTTCATATCTAATTAATGCTTATCTATTAATATCTAGATGTTCCTTTCTTTTCTTGTTTCCATCATCATGCTAGAGGTATAAAAATGTGTCTTGGTCCCATCTTCTCTAAAATTCATCTTGAACGTTTATTTCTATTTATTCATTTATTATTTCCTTTCTTGCCTTTGAGTAACGTGGAGTTCGGCAGGAGTAGATCATAAATACTACCTTTGTCATTGTGAAGTTGTAAATCCAAGAAGTTCATTTATCTCAGTCCATCGAGAATACTTCTGTCAGCTTATCTCCTTCTAGGTATATCTGTGTTGAACAGGTCTGGACTTGGCTACTGCCACTTTCTTTGAAGTATTAGTGCTCTTCTGTCATCTATAGGGGTATGTGGTTTTCTCTCAGGACATGGATTCCTGTTTCCCTTAGTGTTTCACAGGCAGATCAGGTTGTTACAATGTGCTGAGAAGTTTCTACAATGCCTGCAGTATGAAAAATAAAAAAATAGTTATCTTTGGTATTCCTGGGTGAGAGAGGGACACAAACATACTATGTTAATAAAAACACAAACCATTATCTTGGATTTATCTCCAAGGCTCCCAAATATACTAATTAAACAATGCTCTTAGGTTCCCCCAGACTTCCAAACATACTATGGTTATTAAAATATTTGAAACAATTTTTATAAGGTTCACAAGAGGGTCTCCAAACATACTGCAGAAGTAAAATATTATTTTTAAAGCCTGCTCGAGGGACCCCAAAGGTACTGCGCTAATAAAAAATTAAACCAATTATTATAGGACCAAATATCCCACAGTAACAGATAAATACGAAACAACTATTTTCAAAGACCTTAAAAGGGTCTCCTATCATTCTATTGTGGTAGAATAAATACAAAATAATTATTTTAATGGTCCACTGGCGGGCCCCCAAATGTGCTTTGGAAATATATAAAATAGTGGTTTTCTGGGCCTTTCGGTGGGACCCCAAATATACTGGGGAAATAAAAAAAAAATAAAAAAGCAATTATTTTTAGGGTCAACCATACCATACCAGATACTAAATCCTCAACTACTGGGGATATATCTGGTTGAAAAGCATTAAACACACCATAATTGATAATGTTTTTAATTCCTAATTGCAGTAGGGAAAAAATCATTTTACTTACCTCCTTGTTGGATCCTGTGACAATTTTAAATTTGACTTTGATATAGCACCATAAAAAAAAATATCTTAAAAGATTAAATCTGGTGAATGTGGAATGCATGGAATGTTTACATCATTAGATCAAGCAATCAGTGAAAATAAGGGTCTTTACTTCACTACTGCAAATCACTTTTCAATAAAAACATATGATTTCTTTGTCACTGTTTACATACTTGTTAATAATTATTGCTCCGTTGTTATAACCTCATTTTCAAATAACGAAATAAGTAGGTAAATCTCTTTTCACCAATATTATATAAAAATTACGTAATTGAACGTATTTATTTGGAGTTGATAAAAACAATAAAAGACGCACGACAAAAAATCTGTTTTACTCATGAAAGAGGCCAATAGGCTCTCTTTTATGTTTTCCATTATAACTCATAAAATGTTATAATATTTAAACATGCCAAAGATAGAAAATAAATAACCCAATCGGTAACAGCTAAAAGCAGTTTAAACCAAAATCATTTGTTTTTATTGAAATCTTTTTCTGATAACGGGTATTGAATGTTGAGCATTGTTGGTTGCACCATCAGTTGAAAAATGTACATTCATTCATGTTCTAAAAAATAATTCTATGACCTTCAAATAAAAATTAAGATTATTCCTCATTCAGTAAAATTACTTCTGATTTTGGAGGAAATTAGCTTTTAATGAATTGTATGTATTTGGGGGGAGGGGAGAGGGTTGAAAGAGGGAGAAATGTGAAAATATCATTAACTGTTGCCTCTTTTGATTTATAACGAGGAGAGATTTTTGTTTTGCATTGTTTGTTCCAGGACTCAATATTTTTAAGTATCCAGTAACAGAAATCAAATAGAATTTACTTGTAAATTTTAGTTTGATGCCCAATGATTTTTTAATTATAACAATAGGTTTTCATGTTTAAATTCACAATAATTTATTTTAAGAATTAACTAATTGACTATTAATTTGCTGATTTCTGCCTGGATTCCAGTTTCAGGTGATATGAATTAATTAATTTTTTTTAACTACAAAGAAATACCAATTTTTTATGGTTTTTAAATTTTAAACTTGGTTGTGATGATTTTGATAAATATTTTTTGATACATGATAGCCATGATTTTTTCATCCATGCATGCAACAAAACTGTTGTACCGTTTCTTAAAATTAATTTTATATGGGCTGAGAAATTAACCAGCTATTCAAGGCAACATTATGAAATTTAAGTAAACTATCAATTGACAAATTTATTTAATTTACTTAATAAAATTTGTTTTTTGATATTTTCCATTTGAATATTGAATGTTGAACTGATTTATCTGAAACTGTTTCTGAACAAGTTAATGGACACCCTTGTTAGTATGCTTACGCTGGTCGAAGTTGAAAAACTATTGCTCTACCTTTGATTTGACCTCTACACAGTCAAATGTTACCAGGGGCTGGCAATATTCTTGAAGAACTAATTTAGACAAATTTTATCAATAATTCTCAATAACCAATAACTCTCAGCGGTAGAATCACACACATGTTGTGTGAGCTGACTCTAACGGTAATCCTAACCATCGCACATATGTTATGTAAGCAGCTACTAAAGTATTAAGGAGAAATATTATGAATTCTGCAGTGGTTGAACTCTAATTATATCATCTCACCATTTTATTGTCACTATTTGTTCTTTTTTGTTGTTAACAAAACATTAACAATTGTTAATAAAAAAAACTAAAATGAATTATATAGTCACACAAAGAAAATCTTCAGTGTGCTTTGATGGTTTAACTGTATTCATTTGCTTAGATTAAACTGTTCTCATTATTAAAATACACACAAAAAAAAAAAAAAAAAATATTTGCCATATTAATAAGTTTTGAAAATAGTGTATAAATGGTTTCAAACGTATTTATTTTCATAATATTAAACTTCAAAATTATCTTGGAACTGTTTTATTGTTACTATTTTAATGCTATAATTTAATTTTAGTCGTTATCGTATATAATTCCTAAATCTTTGGTATATGTTTTATAATACAAGGAAATCTCATTATTTTTGGTAACATGTTTGCTTCTTTTTTTATTATTGTTAGCTTTTTTGCACTACTCAACAATTGTCATAGCTGAAACAATGTTTCATTTTGAGGCTATGCAATAGAATATATTACATTCATTAAAAAAAAAAAAAAAAATATATATATATATATATATATATATATATATATAGTCAGGAATATTCACTCCTAACTTGTCATAATTTTACTCACAAAAACTATTTGGTCACTTGTTTACCAATACATTTTAATTATACAACAGTAACTGCTAGTTGTATCTCTTAGAAAAAATAAATGTATAGTTTTATTGAAATAACCCAGGAACTAACAAATTAATGCACACAGTTAAAAAAATGTAACACAAATCAAAATGTCAAAAGAAAAATTAAAGATAGTGACTGTTTGACAAGACAGCTGCCTGTTATTTATGAGACCGCCTAAGCTATACCCACAAGGGTGGTCTCCCTTAATTTGTTTACTTATATTAATGCCAACAAAGAATTTTCTAGTTTAATTTTTTTTTTTATTCTGTTAAATGAGTATGCTACATCCAAAAGAATCGTGAGCTGTCCAGTAAACTCCTCTCAGGCAACTTAATAGTCATTGGAAATCTGTAATTTAATATAATTTATAGTTGAGTTAGAAATTCAAATAAATAATAAGAGTAGGAATATTTTTTTTTATAATATTCAGGATACCTGAGTAGGAACTTTAGTTATGATAAACCGAAAATGTAGTTAAGCGCCGCCAACCACATATCCATATTTCAAACCTTTGTTGATATAGATATTTAAATAAAGGGTCTTCAAAGAAAACCTCATTTTTTCCCATAAAAATCAAAATTTGTCTAATGTAACTGAACATTTCACAGGTTTGTTCGTTTTTTTTTTTTGTTTTTTTTTTGTTTTTTTTTTTTGTCAGAATCTAGAATACATTTCCTATAACACAGCAACCACATTGTTGGTAAATTTGCTTTTCAGGCTAACATAGCAGCCAAAGCAAAGTAAAATTTAATTTCTTTCAAAAATACATGGTTGAATCTCACACAAAGAATTTCCAAGCTGTGCTGTTGAGGATTTAAAACAAACAAAAAAATCAGTCTGCATGGTCTGCTGCATCGTTCTAATTCTGAGTACCCAGAAGAACCCTATTATCTACAGTGATTACATGCTTAAAATCTTCCAACTCTCTTAGATTTTGTCTTGCTCTCATTGGCAAGGACAATATTTTTTGTATCTTTTTTCTGAGCCAGGAATGACTTTAGGTTTGTTCTGACCTGGCGACAATGTCTAAGTTGTTGTCAGAGCTCTCTGGAGCTGAATACCTGGCTCATACACAGGTTTCCATCCTGCAAAATTGAAGATTAGACAAGCAAGGAAATCATTGTTGACGTTAAAGAGAGGGGTCTAACAGGGTATGGCTAATGCATTTTGAATTACATGGTCATCCTGACTAGGTGTGTTAGCTTTTTAGGGATATTCATTTCATCTAAAGTTTGCCAGAGTTCTGAATGCATTAGGCTTTTGTAACCAGGTACTTTACAAGCTTTTTGTTGTAAGAGCTTTTACAAGGATCTACGAAGAGGTATTGAGTAGTAGTCTTATATTTTTTATTATTTTTTTATATCATTCTTAGAGTAAATATTTTTTTCTGTAGTGGGCCTACCCCTTCTGAACTCTCTAGGAACAAGTCTTTTATGAGTATATTCGTTAGCACTTTGTATGGATATAAAAGAAGGACTATAACACATTAGCTTGATTGTGGGCAGTTGATTATTCCCGCTCCCGTCATACCAAGACAAAAAAATAATTAATACTCATTCTGTTGCATGTATCTAACTTTTTTCACCTCCCAACCTCAATATCTCTTCGAAATCAGACTGTCTTTGCAGGATTGGGTAAACCAATCAAAAGCTGATAAAATGAAACAGCTTTTTTAAAAAATCCTCTAGGTTATATCTCTAAAATTAATTGTATGGTATTCTACCAAGTAATTTAGAAAATTATTCATTTTTACTTCATTATTTTCTTTGGCTGCTATGATATCCTAAAGTGTAGTCGCTATATTAATAGGAAATTCATCCTATATTCCAGAAATTGTGAAATGTTATCTTTCAGTACAGACAAATTTTGATTTTTCTTGTAAGAAATGAGGTTCTTGAAAAACTCTTTAAAATATCATTTCTCAACAAAAGATTGAGGTATGAATGAGTAATTGACGGCACTGAACTGCATTTTTGTTATTATATCCCTACTTCAATTACTGACTTTTCCACCTCACACACCCTGTATTCTGACATTTCAGGAATGACAAAACAATAACTGTCAACTGTCTTTCAACTATAAAATAATATTATTAGATGTGATTTTAATTTTTAATCCTTTATCTTTCAGGAAATACAAAATGAGACTGACATCCCAGAGAAGGATTTGATTAGAGCTCTTCAGTCATTGGCTATGGGTAAAGCTTCTCAACGGATACTTATCAAGTCCCCCAAAACTAAAGAAATTGAACCTCCACATCTGTTCTACATCAATGATTCATTTACTTCTAAACTGCACAGGTAATTTTAAATATCAGTATGTATAAAATGCATCTACAAATGGATTTGTAGTACTTGTTATTTTCAGTTACAAAATTACTTGGTTCATACCATCTGTTTGCCAGAGTTCAACCAGAGAAACTTAAAAATTGAAATTTACATTAAAGGATGAGCAAAATTAAAAAAAAAAACTTGTACCACTACAACCCATGAAGGGTCTTGGGTTTAGTACTTTGTAAGGAAGTGCTGTTTTGATGCCAACGGCCGTGCAGGGAAGTGATTGGGCCTGGATCATGCTCAACCGTCATGTTTCTCCCCTTAATCAATTATTTAATTATAAGTATCCACTTTATAGAGACTCACTGGGTGTGTCCCTAGAGGGTCTCCCGACCCCAGGTTTGATCCACAGCTGATGAAAAATTACTTACCATCAGCCAGATTCGAACCCGGGATCTTGAATTTAGGAAATCAGTACTTACCCACTTAAACTTAACTTGAGTAGAACTTAAATCATAATTGAGTTGAATATATAAAATTTTATAGTGAATAAAATGGGCGTATGAAGTTGTTAAATAAATGAAATAGTCATATAAAATTGTTGGTGTTAATTACTTAAACATAATTGAATAATGAGATATGAATAAAAAGTTTTTATAGATTAAAGTAAATTAATATATAAGCGTGGAATATGATAGTAAGAAATAATATTATTAATGGATCATTATGTATAATGTGTGGGGCAATAAAATACAAAAAACAGCAATATAATAAGATAACGGGAAGTATAATAATAAATTAAACTATTATGATGAATAAACAAAATGTATATATTTAATAATATATATATATATATATATATATATATATATATATATATATATATATATATATATATATATATATATATATATAAATATAACAAAAATAAATTTACCTTTAAAAATATATAAGTAACAAAAAAAAAAAAAAAGATTACTGAATGAAATATAGGATATGTTAGAAATAATAAAATACTAGTTGGCCCGTGCAAAAAATATACACAACATATTGTTAAATGATCAAATGCCAAATTAATAAGAAAATAAAATAATGCAACGTATCATAAGATAAAGAAATCAATTGTTACTTTCTCGATAAATATAATCGACAAAGGAAACAAAAACTAATTTAAAACTTTATTAATGTTTGGAACCAACATGTTTACAAATTTCAATAAGCTGTATCTTTACTAAAAATTGTCCGATTTCAATGATTTTTTTTTTTTTCCTTTTTGTAGGAAATTTAGTAATATTTTATATAATCATGGACATAACCATAGAAAAAGTGTGTAATTTTTGAGTTATTCGCAATTAAAATTTCTTTTCTTTCAAACTTTTTTGCCTGAATTTTCGGGTGATTGGACTATTTTTCCTGCCTGAAGGAGAAGGAAGCCTTCAAATTTGGTGGCTCAATCTTGGGATTTGGTGAAGAATTAATGATGATGTGGCTTACCGACAAAAAACACCTCCAATAAATGATATAAACTCTTTCGATCATAGGAGCCTCAAGTTGACAAAAAGAGACATGTATTCAATAATACATGTCTCATTTCGTCGACATGAGGTAATTGGGCAGTACTACAATTAATGTAAGTTTGTGTGGATGCTAATTTTCCTTGAGTTATTTTGAAAATAGTATGTTTTTGGGCTTAAGAACTCAGGGCCCGATAGTTCCAAAGGCGCTATCTGGATCTTGCTGTATGCATCAACATTTTCAAAACCCAATTTGTTCTGTATCAATCCACAGACTTACCACCTTTCTAGTATTGAAGAATAGCAAAATGTTTGTATCGACTTTTTTTATTTTAGAAAGAAAAATCCGGAGAGTACAATTTGAAATATCGTTACAAGATAAAATATTGTTTCTTATTTAGATATAATTTTATGTATGACCGCAACTCTCTCTCCAAGCCTATAACTAAAAACTATAAAACTAAAAAAACTTTTCTTACAATTACAAAAAAATTTTTTTTTTTTTTTATTTATTGATGATATTTACAACTGTATTACAAGTAAAAATACATTCAGTAAATGTGAACAAAAGAATATAATAGCATGAAATCATTTGTTGAGAAACTACCCACTGGTAGCACTCTAAAAATGTATTTACAAAAGGAGATCTTCTTTTCAGACGCCTCGGAGGGTTGTCATTGAGGGATTGAAAAGGAAGCAAGGTTAGAAACGAGAGGGTTAGGATGGTTGTGAAGTTTGTTATGGAAGGAAAGGTATCTGGATTGGGCCAGGTCAGAAACATACGGAACATTAAGGTCGTTATGGATGATTTTGTTTGTGACAAAGTAAGAAGCTGTGAGGATTTTACGAAGGATTTTGGATTGTAAGGATTGGATACGAGAGGAATTCGATGGCTTAGTGGAGCCCCAGAGCTCAATTCCGTAAGTCCAAATAGGTCTTATTGTAGTCATGTATATGAGTCTTTTGTAATTGACTGGGAGCTTAGAGCATTTGTCTAGTAAGTGCTGGAGTAGTCGGAAACGTCGAGCTGTTTCTTGTCGTTTCAGTCTGGTATGAGGATTCCAAGATAGACGTTTGTCTAAGTGGAGTCCAAGGTATCGAATTTGTTCAACAGGGATAAGTGGGGTATTATTAAATGATACTGTAGGACAAGAGGACATAGGTTTATGACGAAGGGTAAAGGTGATTTGATGGGATTTATTGGAATTTATTTTGATCCTCCAGTTTTGAAACCATTCTTCAAGGTTTGTGATGTGTGATTGAAGGGTTTGGGATGCAATTGATGGGTCGTTATTAATTGCTAGGACACATGTATCATCGGCATACGTGGTAATGACAGTGTTAGGATGGGTTGGGATATCAGCTGTATAAACTGTGTAAAGGATAGGACCTAGGATACTACCTTGAGGAACACCAGCGGACTGGGAAAAAAGGGATGAATAGGCATTATTATGATTTACTTTGAAGGATCTATCAGTTAGATAGGAACGGATAATGAGGAAGTATGTAGGGTGTAGGAATTTACGGAGTTTGTAAAGCAGTCCTGGGTGCCAGACTCGATCAAAAGCTATTACAAAAAATAAAATATTTGTTAGCTTTTAAAAGATGACGGTTTATATATGCCATTTCTGGGCTTCTAGAACTCGCTATTAGTCCGCTGATCTCATTGTTACCATTTTACATATTATTGTGTTAATAAATTATTCATACCTTCCTATTTTAATACTCCATTTTACTTATAATGAAAACAATTATTAGCTAAATGGTCCATTTGAACTTCGAACTTCTAAAAGGGTTGAAACTACACTTATTTCATACATAAAATTTCACTTATAATGGTTTATTTTTTTTAATAATGCTGTTTTTGTTTTCAGGGTCAAAATACAAACTGTGGCTGCAAAGGGTGAATCTGAACCAGAACGGAGAGATACAAGAAGCAAAGTAGATGAAGATAGGAAACATGAAATAGAAGCAGCTATTGTGAGGATAATGAAAGCTAGGAGACACATGGCTGTAAGTGAAAAATGATATTTAAAAATTTTAATTAATTAACTGAGGAGATTACTTTTTTATTTATCTTCTATCTAAGAGGTTCTTAACTAAGAGATTTTAAGAAGTTTGAGGTTGATTCATGAAACCAAAGGAATATGAGCATGCCCGAGGTTGCCCAAAAGATTAGAACAGGCTTCCATATGTAATATGAGCTTTATATAATACGGACTCCGACAATATTATGTACATATACATATTCAGTTTTCATAAATGCTATCATTGGTATTACTTAATATTATTGTATAGATTACAGCATATAAAAATTAAAATTTGTATGTATAAGGATAATTAAACAAATAAAAATATCCACAATGAAATGTAAATAAATATAGCGTCTATAATTTTTATTTTCTCTTCCCCTTTGTCTAAGAAGAGGGTCATAAGTGAAAGTCATGAGATGCATGCACTAGATTTTTTCTATTCTGAAATGATTTTGGAAATAACTAAAATGGGTTTCTTTATTTTACTTGTATTTTAAGTTTTGTTAATTTTAAACATATTAGCTCAAAATACAAATTATGAGAATACTTTGGTTATTAATTTTTTGTGGATTGGGAAAGGAAGTATTTCTCTGAATGTGAACAAAAAAACCTGTTTATTATTGCAATACAAAGCAAAGAGGATATTTTCTGATGGATGATCATGTCGATTTCATTAAATATAAGTGTACCTGGCTTAATATTTAATCTATGTTATTTTGACATTGTTATTATGAGTCAGATAACAACAAATAATAAACAATCCACATTTTACCTATTATTTTTATTTATTAAGTTTTTTTTATTACAGCATAATGTTCTCGTGTCAGAGGTAACTGAACAACTTAAAATAAGGTTCCTTCCATCACCTGTTGTAATTAAGAAGAGGATAGAAAATCTCATTGATAGGGAATATTTGGCACGAACATCCGAAGACAGGTATTGAAAATTTTATTTAATATATAATTGGTAGTTTGCTTTATAATAAATCTTTAAGTATATTTTGTTTTTCTTACAATTTTTTTGCCTTGTATGAACTTCGTCATTTATACATCATTCTGAAATTATATTTTTATGAATCACTGTTATATACCTTGCTATTGCCAACTGTCATATACCTTTATCTTGGTTTTATTTAAATGCTCTCTCTGGATGACGTTGATTAAACTTTTTTTTTAATTAACAAAATTGTTTAATATAATTAAGACAAAAATAGCAATTAGTTAAAAGCATTTCTTGCTGGTTTCCTCATTGCCCATTAAAATACTAAATCAGTGGGGGGAAAAATGCAGAGAAAAAAATCTGTTATTTCTTTATTATTAGGAGGAAGCTCATAAAACATAAAACATTTTTATGAACAGTATTAGAGAATACTTTACATTATCATGCCTTTTTTTTTTCATTTGTTTGTGTATGTAATTACATATTTTTATTAAATCCCTAAATGTTATTAATTGACATCTTTTTTTTTTTTTTTAGGAAAATGTACACATACGTTGCTTGAAGTCAGGCACAATTAACAGTAAGTAACTTTAAAATAAATTCATTCTTAACTCATTGATACATTGTTATTTTACTTGAAACGAATAACTAATTATGATACAGATTAGCATTATTCCCTAAAAAAAGTAAGATATGTCAAAAAATTAATATTTTTATAAATTATTTATATATATGTAAATCAGGGATATTCATGGACTTGTGATAAATGCTTAATGTGTTGTGGTTCTTAACAGTTAGCATGAATCTTGAGTGAACAACTTTGATGTGCTAACCTGCCAAAATTTTGGTTGATGTTGTACCGTGAAAAACCTCTATTCGGAATAACTTGTTTTAAGTGTGACAACCCTAAATTTATTAGATATTGAAAAAACAAAACAATTATTCTGGATTTATTCTGCACTATTTTGTTGCATTTCATTTCCCTTGAAACAAACTGTAAGAAAAAGGCGAGAAGCTCATAAATAATCTTACATGTGCATTTACAAAATTAGTACCAGTTTTAACAGACCCCAGATCATGTTAAAGTTGAATCTGCTTGTAGCCATCTTCAACATACATACCTTAAGTTGAATAAGATTCTTGATTTTAACATATTTAAGAGGTATACAATACTTAGCACAGTTGCATAAATACTCTTTGTATACATTTTATCAAGGAATGTTAAATGAATTTATTAAAATAAAATTAGTGACAAACGTTCAATTAAAGCGTGAAGCACATGTACAAAGAGTATAATTGCAAATTAAATTTCTCTTACTTCAGTTTGGGAATATTATTACTCTTACTTCTTTGAGTATTTTTTTTATTTCTTTAAAATGAACAATTTTATGCAGGGGCACCACACAACTTTCACTTACCAACCTTAAAATAGATAGGTATTATCATATGTAGAATAGTCAAAGTGAAAATGATGCTATAACTTCATTTAAAACAGTGCAATTAAATTAATGTTATCCCCCTTCTCATTGAATCTGTTTTATTGAATTTATACGTTTGCATCACTTTCCATTTCCTTTCACGACTATGTATAGTATAAAAAAAAAAAATACGAATGATAATGGAGAAAAATAGATCTTTTGGAAAATTCTAAGTTTTATCGGAAACATTTATCATGAAACTTGTCGAAAAAATAACTTAACGTTAGTAAATATTGAATATTATTAGGTTTATATTGATAGATCCTCAATATTTCACGTGAAAACCTTTTTAAAAAATTATGGGTAAGTTAAACTAATAATATGATAGCCCTGTACTGAGCAATATCGGGTATCTGTGAAGGAACAGGATTGGCAAAGGTCGGGCATTGTCAGCTGTTTCCGTATAGCTTCCAAACCTTGTTTCTCCTTTAATTTTTCAGCTATTTAATTTTTCTACATTCATTATATTTAACCATTTTTTGTATCTGATATCAATGTGAAATGCTTAATTATTTAAAGTTAAAGGTACTTCAGAGGGAAGAAAATTGAAAATTAGGCATTTAAACACTGTTAGAGAAGAGAACATCATTAAGAATAAGACCTACTGTTAATAAATTAATTTTATCATTTTATTAAATACCGCTTAATTATACGCTGGTATAATGAATTTAATCAAGCCTTTTTTTAGAAAAATGTGTAAAATCTATGATATAAAGTAACACTTCCTTTTAGCCAATTTTGATGAAAAAGTTGCTGTAACATCCCAGGCATTTACAAGCCTTAAATACTCAATTTCAGTTGCATACAACTTGTCTTTATGGAACTTGGTCATTTGGACTCAGGGAACCTTTAAACATATATTCCTGTTCGAAAGTTTTTGCCATCGCAATTCATTCCCTTTACTATATATAGAGAAAATTAAAAAATATACAAGGAAGTAAGAGCAATATTCATAACCCTAAAATTAACTATAATATTCTTTAAATTGTTAGTATCGCAAATAATGTTTACACATTTTTATGTATATGCAAAAGCTCTTGCCCATTGCTCTTATTTTTGTCTTGATAAGAATCTAAAATGCAGGTTTCAACTGGACAAATTAAAAAAAAATTGTTCTCTGTTACTGATTATTTTTAAAGCCCAGTTTTTAAATAAAATTTCTTGTGAGAGGGGTGATTTTTTTTACTTTCTAATAAAGCCTTTTACATCTTATTTCGCCAGATTACTCTTACCCTTGTTTTACGAATAAAGGATGTATTTTACTTTAATTTTCTCTTTATCTGCTTGTATCATGATATCCTGATCCTGATAATCATTTCAAAAATTGCTTATTGCTATTATTTATAAATTATAATAGCTTCCAATTTACTTAACGTTATCAATAATATGGGCAATTAAAAAATACTATACAAAACAAACATGAAAGAAAAAAAACTGAAAAACATGTGCAATTATCATTTTTTAATCATCTGAGCCTCATGAGCTTTTTTGCTGAAAATTGTTTTTCCCCTTTAACATAATGAAAATCTAAAAAAATTGTCAGTGGCTTGTTTCCTCTTATAGAAGTATTTTTAATTTTATAATCTTTATCTAGTCGACTATTCCGAAATGAAACAGTTTTACGTATTAAGGATATGTATACTAATAAAATTGATGGGCTTTAATTTTATTGTTTACATACTATTAGAAATATAGAACTTGTAGTGTTTGTTTGCACTCATGAAAAAAATTTAATATGTTTTTTAATTTTTATCTTTTTGATATCGGCTATTATGATATTATATATGGATAATTCCTCTTGAAAAATGTCATGGACCACAATACATTATGGTGGAACTGTTTATTCCTCTTTGAATGTTAGCAATTATAAATAAAAGAGTAAGGAATACTTTCAAAAAGAAAAACAAGTATAAATAAATTAGTTATTTTTTATATACTGCTGTTTTTTAAAATAAATTTTAATTTATATCATATTGTTATATGATATAAGTTATTCATCTAAATGACTTACATTAATTGACTAGAAACAATTAATTTTTTTATTGTAAAGTTAATAATGGAGGTAGTTTATTTTTTTTTAAGTATCAGTGTATATAACAATTGAATCAATGAGAATAAAAACATTACAAATCCAATTTTGACCATTCTGGAAAATGTTTTTTTTGTAGGTTAAAACCTGTAGAACTAGGCATTTAGCACAAGAACAGCCCACCAACAACACTCCTAAACTAATCAACCCTTATAACACACTGATAATGATTCACAGGATAATCAGACCTTTGACGAGAGATACCTCAAAATGCTGATTTGTGACATGTACTATTATCATTCTCACCGATTCAATTGTAACTGGTTAAAATAAAATCTGTTAGAAAAATAATTGTGTTCTCAAGCATTAACAATTAAACATGCATATTTTGTTTTACAATTTTATATTGTATTGTAATAATATTTTGTTATTATTTTTTTTTTTGTAGGTGAAACTTTGTGTGCAATCAATTTCCTACTCAGCACTAATCAATGCTCCTCCCTCCTGGGAAGTAGCATTTCATTTGTCAGTCAACTAAATAAAAGGAAATTTTCTCTGCTATACTGTTTCTATATAGTTGTTTGTTGCGTATCACGTTTTTGGGCCGGGCGTGACTGCGCTGACTGTGATAACAGACTGATAACGCGGAATACCCTCCGCAGCTGTGCCCAGATATTTCTCTCTTTTTTCCTGCCTTTTCTATCGAAAGACTTTTTTTATCCCTGTACATGCCATGAAGTGCGTCGGCTTTCAGTTTCTTTTACTTTTGTCCTAGCTCCGAATACCAAAACAAGCAATTAAAAGAAATATAAAACTATTAGGAATATATATTATATATATGAATATAAATAAAGTTTGTACAGATTATATTTATGATTATATTATTACTGATAATCTTTATTGTGCACTGTTGTCTGAAAGTGTTATTTATAAGTGAGTTGACTCAATTATAAATCACATCTTTGTCTTTATTATTTTTATTACAAAATATAACGCTGTGAATTTTTTCTTATTTATTAGGAGCCAATTCCAGATTGTTCTAACTAAAGATCATTTCCTTTCAATAGAAGATATTTATAGATATTTATTTATAATAAATCATTGTACATCAAAATGACTGTAAATAAATTATTTCTTGGTTTTATATGTCATTTACTTCCAACTATTTGATTCCTTTATCTCTGTTTATTTTCCTTACCTTTAGAAGTTACACAAAAGTTCTTATGGATCAAACTAAAAAAATATATAAATATTAAATAAGTTCTGAAATAAGAATATAATTATACTTATAGTAGAATCATTTCAGGAAAAATTACAACCATTTTAAAACTTGACTATTATCAGACTATGTTTTTAGCTCAGCTTGCCTATCTGTATTCAAATAAGTCTGTCTTCATACTTATTTTTGATATAATTTCTTCATGTTTATATTTGCATATAATTTCCAGAACTTTCTGAAAGAAGTATTTTGTTTTGTGAAAACTACTACATCTCTAGAGTCTTAAACATATCAGAATGTATATAGACTAGTAGATAAATTAAAAATATAGTTGGTTTTTTAACATGCTTGACGATTCAAAATAAAGATTTATATAGGACTACTATCTAATTAAACATAAAAATACAATTGTAGAAACACTGACTATGCTTAAAATAAATCAAGGGACAATAAATATATTTCTATATGTAATGGGTCTAGCTAAGAGCAGTTACTGTCCAACATGCCAATGCCTGGAGGATCCAAGACACATTTCCTTCCAGAGTAAAATATTGAAGATAGAAAGAAGAATAAGTTTAATATTGCAAGCTATTGACAATAGTATTAATTTTCTATGTTCAGTACAGACATAGATTAGGACAACGCAAAAAATAATAATAAATGTGCCTACATAAGCCTCTTATGCTCATTTAAGCTCCTTTGGTTTTAAAGTATTAAATTAGTTAAGTTCAAGTTTAATATTACTATTACGGTAATAGTAAAATTAAACTTGAACTTAACTAATTTAATACTTTAAAACCAACTCATAAGACATTTTCGGCAAAATGATTACTTACACTCATTGGCTTCTGGATGCTCTTTTGGAACTGTAGTAATTATTAATTATTACAAAACTGTAATAATCAACAAATAGTCTGACATAGTTCAATAGAGATTCAATTACTTTGAATATGATTGAACTAAAATGCTGATAAATTGTAAAGAGTTAATTAATGTCTTGAAATAGTTATAAAGAAAAATATATAAATTCAACAAAAAAATTTCTAAATATTGAAACTAAAAGAACCAATGTCCAAAACTTTGAAATGCCTAAAGAAAGATTGTTTCTTGGTGCTACTGTTGGAGACTTTAGAGCTTTATATCATCCTATGTTCTAGCCAAGTGTAAATTTTTAAAAATTGAAAGAGAGAAATACAACATTGCACGGCTGCTCAACTATATTGAGTTGCTAAATAACACAGCATACTCATTAATCAATAGATAATACTGTAAAAAATATATAAGAGAGAGTTAGGTCAGACCATTGGAATACATATCAGATATGCCAAGAATGGTTTATAGAATCAAATAGGTGGAGATCTAGTTCATATAATGTGGTGATGGAGGATTCTCAAGTCTAAAATAATAGTTTCTGTCATGGTCATCATCTGCTCCCTTCCAACACCGAGCCTCTGCAAGAAATTACTTGTATTAAGAGGGATACTTCCGAACCATAGCCTTTTAACTGAGAATTCTCTCTCGCGGAATTCATCTCTGTACTTTTCCTTCAGGTAAAGTATGCATTTCATATAAATTTTCTCTTTCTTTGCCTGTATCTTGAAATCCTGATCCTGATAGTTGGATCCACTATGATGATCCACTATGTCGCATTGAACACCAAAATGTCAATGAGCCTTTTATATCCAGCCGATATACTTGGAGGAAACATTTACAGTTCTTCATTTCAAGGAATTCGGCTATACGATATTATTGGTCGGCGAGTGACAAGGAGCATGTTATGTGAAAAATTGCAGCTCGGGTTTCTGACTCTGACACATTTGTGGCAGAGGAGTCCAACATTTTTGTTAACCTGGCTTCCGGCGCCTGATACTCTGCGGAGAGGATCGTAATCAATGTTTAATTTCATGGTGTTAATATTTTACTTTAAATTGATTTACTGAAAAATCGAACATAGAATACCAAATGATGGTCGGATTACTTTAGTTTATCCCAGCTGAAAAATTATATATGATTGTTTTTACTGTAGGAAAATTAGGTTTTGAGAAAAAAAAGAAAATCCTCCTTTTTTCCATTAAAAAAAATTGTAATTTGATAATTACAATGCTAATATTAGTAGAATATCACATCTCCTAAATATTGTCATTTGCTTCTGATACTCTCTGTATTTAGAAAGTAGGTGAATCAAGATTGTACCTATAGTCTCCAGAAGCCATTCTGTGCTTTGTCATAATTCCATGAGCTTAGGAAAGTAGGTAGGCAGGAGTAAGGAAGATAATGAAAGTTTATGGTAAGAGGTAACTGTAGGGATCCAGCCTACATAAGTTGGTTAGTAAAAGGTAAATTTCTAGCAAATGGAACCAGGTGTCCTGAATGTAAATCACAAAAAGAGAGCCAGTATGATCCTCAGATGGGTACTTCATTTGTTCAGAGTGAATATTTTCACCAAGAGGCATTTAAAAGTGTATTTGTTTTAAGTCCATCCAGAATACCTATTTATGCTAAATTCATTTAGTATTTATATGATCATTACAAAAATATAACAGTAAAAAAGCAAATATCTTCTTGAAGTCTGCCAGGTTCATTGGTTCCTTAATAAGGATGGCTGCCTCATCATAGTAGTACACAGCGGCACAGCTAAGGTCTCTAAACCTGCTGTTACGTAGGTATAATTTTATTGACAAACTGCATTAGCGCAATGGTTTGAATAATACTAGATAACAGGAAAAGATTTAAATAAAATAATCACAGACTACGTAAATAAATTAAAAATATTCAAATATATTGATAAAAAAACTAGCCTTAAACTAATTAATAATTACCACCAAATACCAAATATCCATGGACTGATAAAAACGCATAAAGAAGACGAACCTTGTTGACCAATAGTAGATGCTACTAGCGGGCCAACATATATGTCTAAATTCCAGAACCCAAGCTTAAACCAGTTTTGTAGCAATAACCCTTTTGATGTAAAAAAATCAATCAATTTAGAAAACAAAATAAACTTAAATTCAATAAAAGACGAGTATTCAATGTTTAGCTATGATAAAAAATCACTATTTACAAACTCACCATTAAAAATGGTCTACAAACTCATTTCTGAAAATTGGGGCAAGATTGAACCACACACCCCAATAAAAAGCAGGACGATCTTCCTAGAAGAAATCAGACTTTGTACCGAAAACGGATATTTTTCTTTTCAAAAACAGACCTATAAACAAATTTTCAGTCTCCTGATGACTTTCTATCAATCTATCCATATATCCTGAACCACATACTCGAAATAGCACATGCTTGAAATCGAATATAAAGCCATTATTATTAGTAAATTATATCGACGACCTATTGGTTATCCTAAAAATGGAAGATCATTCTACATTGGTCGTTAAGCTTAATTCTATCCATCCAAAAATAGAATTTACACACAGAATGGAAAAAATAACAGCATAAATTATCTAGACATGACAATAGTTAGAAAAAAGCAGAAATTATACATTAAATAGTTCAGGAAAACTATAACTGCAAAAAATATTCTCAAATTTTATTCTAACCATCCCAAAACACAAATTATCAATGTAGGTAACAATTTAAATTAATAAATAACAATTAATCAATAAAGCAACCTGAATTACAGATGATATATGTATGAAAGAAATTAAGCAACACATTTTCAATACATTAAAAAATAGTTTCTATCCAGCTAAATTAATAACAACACTGTGTTATAAAGCAATAAATAAATATAAAAAACTACCAATAGAACAAACTGACAAAAACACAACTCAAAATTGTCTTACAGAAAATAAGAATAAAAATGACAATGAGCTAAAAATCAACTTTAATACACATCGGCCCCCAAACCAAACTAGTCTCAAATGATTCTTTAACACGAGTTCATTAATTACAAAAAAAGATAACGAACAAAACCAAAATTCAGAAAATAGCAATATAGCAATATCCACAGAGCTGTTAAAACTTTAAACTAAAAAGCTTTAATAAAAATTGGGTAACTTTGCTCACGTCCGTACATTGTACACGTGCCCTCTTGTTATAACTAAATGAGCAATATTGTCGCCACGAAGACAGTTTAACATCATAGAATCCACAAAAATATGAATCCATCAAAATTAAGGAAACCCACAGGCCCAGTCAACACACAGCTTAAGGCTATGTTCAGGAACGCTGGTGGCCTAACTGCTGACAGAATGGAAGACAATTATTACAAAGGAGGATGCTGATCTATATGGGATCGTAAAAGCCGGCTCATCCACTGAAAATATCCAGTTCTACCAATTACCAGGATATCAAACTTATAAACTGCAGAGATCCAGGCAGGTTACATCAGGAATAATTGTCGCTGCTAAATCATCCCTCAAGGTAACCTTTTCAATTAAAAAGAAGATGGAAGAGAATGATAAATTGGAGGCTGTACAGTTAGATCTATGGAAAAGGATTCATGGCGGAGTTGTATTGGGCTGCCAGGAGCCGAATGGCCTAATAGCCAGCGGCAGATGCGTTTAATAAAAAAAAAAAAATATCCAGAAGTAATAACAATAACCAATTTAAATCCATAACATACATTGACAAACTGACATATAATATCATAAAAACATTTTAAAAAATTAGACAGACGATTTCAAATTCGCTCTCAAACCCAGGCACCATATACGAAATTTACTGACAAAGATAAAAGATCCAACACCTTTTCAGAACCATAGAACTATTTCATTTCGATTTATTCAATTTAATTAATTAAAAACTAACTTTAATTTAAAAAAATTTTATACAAAATATGAGACGAAGAACAAACTCTGTTCCAATTTACTATGGTTTTAAATAGTAAAATAAGAGAATAAGGTATGGTGTGAGAATGAAAATAATTGCATGACAAATATAATTTTTTTAATTGAATGTTTTATAGTTGACCATTGCATT